AGCGGTTGTTTTTCTATACATACTTGTATTATAGATTACTCTATTGAACCATAATTGCGCTAGCCATTACACCTTATGCGGTCAGTGTATCGTTAACAAAAAGCAAATCACGGTAAAGGTGAAAGTCATCATCCTGGGGAGCGGCAGCGGCCTTACACTACTGAGGTAGTTGTAATATATTAATATATAATATGTATATTAGCGTTTAAGACTAGAGAGTGGACGACAGCGCGGTGGCGATAGCGATGCGGGCGGCTTAAGCGACTTGATCATAAGTTTACGTTAAGTTTGCATAACAATTATGCTGTTCTCAACGGCAGCAGCGGCACGAGTGGCGGTACATGAATGTCCCACTCCAGTCGTGCGGTGAATTCATGAGAGTCTTTGTCAATGACAAAGATCTGCACTAATGGCATAGTGTCTGCCACGGTTTGCAAGAAAAGTTGGTTCGAATCCAGCGGGATCGAAGGAATTTTTTTCTAAGTGTTAACGAACTTTGTATTAATATATTATATATATTTTATCTTCAATTACATTGTTTTCATTAGAATTGTATTAGATTAAGTCATATTGAAATAAATTTATCTTATTTATCTTATCTTATCTTAATAATTATAACAAACTAGTGGAGTAATTTCAGAAAAAATAATTGAATATTATGGTGAAACATCACATTCAATAAACTTCATTACAATCCAGTAGTTTGCTGTTAATACAGCGACACCTCTGTTCTGATAGTTGTAAACCTGGCTGAGTGTAGAAACTTTAGAAGTTTCTCACAAACTCAATATATAGATCTGTAACAAACACATAAACAAATTCATAAGGTATCCAGTAGGGCTAGGCTATTACTGCTATTCTCGCATATAAATCTCGCGCTTTATGTTGCTCTCGCACAAGTCGCGTCCTATCGTGCTAGCCCCTCTGATTTGGTCTGAAAGCTCAGTTGGTGAAGAGCAGTGGCTCCGGCAATTGAAACTTGTACGAGTCCAATCAGATCGAAGGAATTTTGTCCGTTTGTTTTTAACCAATTAAAAAAAGGGGGGGGTTCTCAATTCGACAGTATGTTTTTTTTTGTTGTATTTATGTTACGCGATAAATCTGGAATTTGTGAGTCGATTTTGAAGATTATTTTTTGAAAGAATGGACTAAGGTACCCACCGTCTTTAATTGGTCCCATTTAAATATTGAAGGAAATATTCCACCTTTAAGGGTGGAAAACTAGGCGACGAAACTGGTTTCGCGCACTTTCCGGTAATCGATGTCAATAAAACTTGGCAAATAGATGTAATACCACGAACTTTTGATGTCGGTTTTTTTTTAATTATAATTATTCGATCTTTCTATCAAGAATAATAAATAGGCTTTTCATTTTCTTTGATAAAAATTTTTAAAAAGTGTCTTTCGAAATTCGCCCACAAGATTATCTACTTTATTTTAAGACGTGCTGCGCACTAAAGTTTCGGGAATGAATAAGAAAAAAATACTACAAATGGTCATAAAAGAATTTATTGTTTCTCAAAATATTCTCCGTTAGCGTTATTGCACTTTTTCATACGAATGAACCAATTTTGAAAACATTTATGCCACTCCTCCGTGACAATCTCTGAAACATATTTCTCATACTCTTCGACAGCCTCTTCAGATGATGAAAATAGTTGACCACGTAACTGGTCCTTAATTATTGGAAATAAATAAAAGTCACAAGGTGCCAGGTCGGGACTGTACGCAATATGGCTCATAAGGTCAACGTTGTTCATCTTCAAAAATTCATTTGTCTGTCTGGCCGTGTTAGAACTGGCGTTATCGTATTGCAGGATGATACGGCGTGTACAGTTATTTTTACGGAGTTTGTCAATAACTTCCGGCAAACAAATGGTCATGTAACAATCACTATTCACGGTACAACTATTCTCCAAAGCAACAGTAGCCACATGTCCAGTTTTTTAAAAAAAAAAGAAGCAATCAACCGCTTAGAGGCAGTTTGCACGCTCGCCACTTTGGTTGGTTTCAGTTCATCTCGAAAGACATAGGCTCAATTGCTGCTTTGTTTTGGGATCGTAACTATAAATCCATGTTTCGTCACCTGTTACTATGTCCCACACCAAATTTGACGCCCCTTTGTTGAATCTGGTAAGCATGGCATTGCACCAAGTGACGCGATCCGTTTTTTGAGCCTCAGTCAAATTGTGTGGGATCCACCGAGAGCGCAGCTTTTTCACATCCAAATGTTTGTGTAGTATTGATTCATTTGACTCGTTGCTATGCTTAAAGATGCCCGAATCTCATGGTATGTCACATGCCTGTCTGTTTTGATCATACGGCGCACAGCATCGATGTTTTTGTTGTTCACAGCATTGGACGGGCGGCCATCACGAAATTCGTCACTGAGATTCACACGACCACGTTTGAATTCTGCAAACCAGCTATAAATAGTCGTCTTGCATGGTGCTTCATTGCCAAAAGCAGTTTGAAGCCGAGGGAAGCTCCGCTGAGCTGTTAAATTACACTTAAAGTCGTAGAAAATCATACTACGAAAATTTTCACGAGTTAAATCCATGGTGATGTAGACAACCAATTTCTAAAATGACGCCAAAATGTATAAACAAATGACAGTCAAATGAAACAAACTGTATTCTACAGCCAAAGAGTTCCATTTTCAAATGTTGTAATTACTTTTTAAATATTGTTTATGTAAGTGGCCATTTCCGGAAACTTACAGTGCGCCCTATATAACATGAATTGTCATGAATTTTGACAAAATTTTGAAAAAATTCGTAAAAGTCACCCTTCTAATGAAACAGAGTACTTTATTACTGTTAATACCTGCGAATTAACTGCTTTATCGCGTGATAGCTCACAATTTGAACTTGCAGTTAAATTTAACCCGACTCTGTTAGAAGTTAATGGATACATTCGTTAAAAGGTGAGGTGTAGTTTGCAAGTTTAATGGGCTTTAATTTGGAAATACAATGATACGGGAATTCGTGATGGAAGCTATCTATATATCGCGTATATAGTATTGGTAAAAAGCGTTTCACCAAGCCAAATTTCACAGGAGAGGGATTTAACGTTATTATTTTGTTATTTCAATGGGACTTTATTTTTGCACAGTAAGCGTTAAAATATGTGGACTAATAACAATAGATTCCTATGCGATATCGATACGCGGATTTCGTTTGGCGACTAAATTACCGAAATGTCGGCTCATAACCAAGTGCAAGTTACCCGTAATTGCACTATCCCGGACGACATCCCATGTATCTTAGTAATGTGTACAGGTGTCCCTCAGCTATGCGACACACAGGGAAAGTACTTAGTAGCAGTAAAACTCCTTGTAAAAGAGTTCGTCCAGGGAAGTACTGCCACCGTAAGAGGGAGCAGAGGAAAAATTCCTAATCTTCGATTTGATTTTAGACGGGTAGATCCACTTTAAAGTTTAAAATAAAATATTGTATGAGTAACTACACGATATATTCAAGATAGACATTAATCAGAAACATAAAACAATGAAGTTTCCTCCATAGGTAAAAATCACGAAATGACCTCTAACTTTCACATTATTTCGATTTATCCTCGAAATGCTACAGGTTATTAAAACAAAAATTAGATAATTAATTATATTTATGCATGATCGACAACTGCCACTACGGATTTTTAATACCTTTAGGTTAAGAGTTATTCCGCTAAAACGAGTTTGGTACTTTTAATGCGCAAAATTCAACATCTCCTGTCGCATGTCACGCGAACTTCAGGCATACATTTGTTTCACAAATTTGGGCGGAGCCAACGTCAAAACTTTTTTGACGTGAGAGCTCTTAACTATTTCTGCCGCCAAGCAGTAATGTGAAGATTACTGTGTTCCGGCTTAGAATGGTAAGGGTGCTGGTGAAATTACAGGTAGGTACGTGGGACTTGTCAGCGTATGTTCACAGTCACAAGCGCGGTGGCAGTGTCCTCAGATCTTTGCGATTCGAAATTCTAAGCGGCACTGCAGCTGCTATGTGCAGGCGTGTCGTCTAACAGCAGGCACACGACGTGTTCGTCATAAAAAACATGTACCTACATATGATTATCTTCCTCCATGAAGACATTATTTTTAAAAGTATCTAATACTGCATTCAAAGGTCTTTAAAAATAGCTTGCCTCATCATTCAAAAATACAAAACATTAACTCTCCCAGTTGATTACAACAAGCTCAAATACGAAATAGTGCTCCATATTACATGAAAGTGTCTTTTTTATAATATATGCACATTGTAATATGTTATGATAGATAACAACCTTAATTACGTTATCTATAACGAAACACCATGAATGAACAATGAGGTCGCGTCACTGTAATCGGATTTTTCATAAGTGTGTATTACTTACACTGTAATGTGTACATTATAATTTTTAGGCAATAGATGTGTCCCCCTTGTGGGAACATAGTTTTGTCATGAAAAGTGTAAAATAGATTAAGCGAAACTGGTATAAACGCGAATTTCTCTTTTAATTTTGCAATCATCATTGATAGATTTCCTCACAAATTGTTACATCAATGTAACTTATAAACACTAAGACAGCATAACTGACCGTGGTAATGGAAATAAGTATTAATTAATAAATATGTATTTTATATTTTTTCTCTATAATACCTACCAAGCGACGAACAAGTCGCGTGACTAGTGGTAAGCGACACGCCTGTCCATAGCAGTTGCAGTGCTACTCAGAGCTTTAAATCGCAAAGATCTGAGGGGAATAGTCGACCGTGCCCGTCACCCTGAGATAAGATGACAAGTCCCATGTGTCAGTAATTTCACCAGCATGATTCGTTTATCTTACTTAAACGAAAAAAAAGTGGTACACTGTGTAAAGACTTAGTTTTAAGGTTAATATTTGGATGTCTTCTTTATGTATATTTTTTATGTAAAGAAAATGAAATGTGTACATGTATATGAAAAAATGTGCAATGACATATATGTATAATGACACCCTCGCGTTTCCTATAATTCCAGCCGCGCGAACGAGGCCGAATGCGTTTCCACATGCTGCAAAATGTCCAAATGGCGTTGGACTTTCTCCGCTATAAGAAGATCAAGCTGGTCAACATCAGAGCCGAAGACATCGTCGATGGAAACCCGAAACTCACGCTTGGACTCATTTGGACCATCATTCTACACTTCCAGGTTAGTGAACATCGTATTACTTACAATGTTACCTATGAAAAAGTTATAGAAATCGAACAGATCATTTTTGTTCTTGAATAGTTTTTGAATTATTTATAGATACTGACACGTGGTATGTTATTGAGATTTTAATTGTACTCTATGCCACTTACTATAAGACGCCTAAACATAAAAACCCAGAGAATAGCCCTCGTTACACAGTCACTTTGTCGCTCGTGAGGAGAGTACAGAATTGCGCGCGGGAAAGCCTGCAGGCGCAATCACCTGTTTGTAATTTTTAAAACTAACTTTCTTTGGCGGGCGATTGCTCGCGTTCGTTTTCGTTACAACGGAAAGAGCATCTCGAGACTCGCGCGTGGTGGAATACGCGACTGACGATCGCAATCGGGCACTTGTTCCGGTTCCTTCCAACGTCCTTTACACGCGCACTCAATCGCACACGTTTGCTGTATCACGCGCGATAGAGTGTCTGTGTAAAACCCGCTGATGGTTATTAATAGGCGCCGCCACAAAGTCAGGAATATGAGATACATTCAAAAGGCAATATATATAATACTTTTCTATATAAAGGTCTCGGTAGATATTACAATTTGCCGTTTTCCAAGTGTAATATTATTGTAAAAGAAAAACTTTATACAAAAGGACAAAAATCATGGTGCGTGATCCAGCAAAGAAGCAATTCTTTAGGTTGCTTCTCCCTCTTATATTTTACAACAATTATTGCAAATGTGACCAAAATAAACAAGAAAGAACATAGATAATAATTATTTTGAGGTGGTCATTATTACAATAACAGATAATGCATGCATTATACACAATGTGTAGCCTGTACAAAGTTCGAATGTATTACAAATTTTGTAAATACTTATATAAACGTCAAAATATCTACCTACTTAATTTATAGAAGTTCAAATAACATAATATAACAAAATAAGTATAGTTTTTTTGTGTCCGGCCTAATTTTAGGCATACAAACATGTTGAAGATATATTATACATTTTCTCACATGCACTCACATACACTTCAACAGCTAAACTATGTTTTTTTAATAATGTCACAGGCGTGCACACATGGATTTTATAAGCAGTCAGTAATTTGAACACGATTATAGTTATTTGGGTCAACTTCAATGATAATATTTGTAAAATGTAACTAGATGACTAAAGTATTATTGTTGCAACAAAATACATCATTGAAGATCGAACAAACTCAAATAATTCAGCTAGACTCAAACCAGCAACTTTTTCGCCAAATCGGGGCTATCGCTCTCCTATTTGGGCTAAGGAACGAGTCTGCATACCATACAGCAGATTTTTTTTTTCCACCCTCTAAAGGTTTTAACCTATTTTTCCGTGCTCTAAGGTTTTAACGATGTAGGTGTCAAAATAATATTTCCAATACCGAAAAAAAATATTTTAATAACGTCAAAATAAATATACTAAATGCATTGACTTACAAATAAATGGACGACGGGTCTAATACAAAAACCACGAAAAAAATGTCCCAAGTCAACCTATTCGAAATTTAAATTGTAATGTCATCGCAGTATCGCGCTGTCCGTAGAACAAATGAAGACTAAAGCGGAGTGTCGCGCTCTGTATACGATTTTAGCGCCTTACAAGTGCGGACACTTTTTAGCGCGGACCCGACGTCCATATAATTGTAAGTCAATGACTAAATGTCAAAGATTAGAAGACAAGGCTTAATTACTATAAAATAAAAATGGACCGAAGGCTTGGTGTATGCCTATTTAAATAAAAATAAAAAAGTAATATTCACCAACACTTGGCCGTATGGTTTCAAAACTTTGCTTTTTCCTTTAAGGAAAGAATCAAAAGAAAAAATAATGAACTTAGGGATTTGTAATTTAAAAATGCAGAGTTTCACACACTGTATAGCACACAGTATATGGAAGTAGGTAAAAACCACGAAGTAAGCGTATTTATAATTATATTACACCTGGTCGTAATAGGATTACGATGTTCTTCGGCCAAGGGCAAGAAGTTTTAGTGGGTTTTCAACGCAGTTTTAAAATATTAATGATTTTATTCAATTATACTTGATGTTTAGCGACCCGCCGCAGTACCACTCAGTGCTTTTAATCACAAAGATCTGAGGTGCACTGCCACTGCACCCGTCGCCTTGAGACATAAGTTGACAAGCCCATGTGCTTGTAATTTCACCAGCACCCTTGCCGTTCAAAACCGAAACACTGTATGGTGGCTGTACTTCCCTGGACGAACTGTTTTACAAGGATGTCTGCTGCTACTCAGCTGAGCTTGAGGCAAGATTGCGCGCTTATTAAACTCCGTTAATTGACAGTAGCAACATTTTCACATATATGTTTGGTTACGGAATTAGAATCTACATCAAACATTTAATAAATCTATTTTTTTATGAAATGTTTTCCTACTTAAATTCAATAATTTAAAATAGCTCATTTCTAAAAAGCTCGGACGCCAGTCGTTGAACTGACGTCACGACTAGTGACGTGAAAAACCGATACTGAATTTATTTGGATATGTGTGCTTCGAGTTATTATGTACAATAATGCAATTTAATTGTCTAATAAATCATACTAGGAAAATACTGTTTATGGAATAGTAGATACGAGAGATAGCACGAAATAACACTCACCTAAGGCCATGAAACTAAAAAAAACTTGACACTAACGCCTTTCAAAACTCAATTTTACTCTATTGTGAAATCTTTGCTTATCCCAATAAAATACCTTAACCCAAATAAACGGGTGAAAATTTATTTAAAAAAAAATTTCGTTCTTATTATTGGAATAAAAAGGATCAAAGTAGTTATCGTAATATCGAAGTTGACACACGTTTAGACATCTAAGTCATCATAATTTATTTTATCAGTTAAGTTTTCCTCTTGTTCGATTTCTGAACTTTGCCCCATTTTTTATATATCGCACATGACAACTATCATAGTATTACCTGCAAATGGTTTTAATTTATATTAATATTACCTATTTAGTTTCAAAGCGACAGTGTTGTCCTGTCACTTTGAAATTAAATCGTATATTAATGACACATCAATATAGCGAAATTTTGGAGAAAAATTATTAATATAACGCAATTTTGAGATAAAATATAACATGACGCCATTTTTGAGATAATACTATGTTAGTTGTCACGTGCGATACATAAAAACTTTATGGTTGGCCTAACTTTTGCACTATCTAACCAATTGTAGATAGACAATTCAAATCTTATTTGAAATTCAACTCGAGTCTAAACAAAATGTCCATATACGTTAGTATCACCGTGACACAGAAATCATGCATTCAGAACACTTACTATTACGTTGTGTTTACTGTACAATTTGTTGTACATAATGACAACTTTATGTTCTATGTTATTTATGATTACTTTATGTAATGTGTGATATCATTGTCTTTTATACAAAGGGTGTTAGAAATCATACTTCGTTTTATTAGCATTTAAAAATAGATATCAATAGAAAGACACAATGCTTACTTATGACGTCACAGCTTTAATGGCGCCATAAAATCATCATAGTAATGATGGATTTGCTTTTAACTTTAATTAAGTTTAAAAACATTTTTACAATAATTAACATTAACATTATATAACACTCCATAATACGTCGACCTCCGTGGTCACTTGGTTTGCACACGAGCTCGCGGGTTCGATCCTCGGCCAGGGCAATGTAGAAAGTAACTTTTCTATATTATCTCGGGTCTAGGTGTTGTTACTGATTTCCATAACACAAGTGCTTTACCATCGAGTTTATAGCCAGAAATAAAGACGAAATAAGGACATACATTACATATAAATATAATTAACCAACAACTGCCTGTGTGTATGTCTTTATTATATTCCAAAAATATTCTGTATTTATTGTAACAAATATAATATCTCTAACAATGGCGTGCTGTTCCATTCGGTGGTGTGGGGAAAAACAGCAAAACATCTAATTGCAAAACAAACAGAATCAAATAGGAAATGAAACTATTTTTCCGAATTTAAATCGCGTATATCTGTTTTTTCAAACAAACCTTTGTTTGTTTGAAAAAACAAATATACGCGATTTAAATCCGTAGGTTTGTTTGAAAAAACGAATATACGCGATTTAAATCCGGAAAAATAGTTTCATTTCGTATGTGTAACAATCGCGAAAACCTAAGAACTCGATAAACAGAATCAAATTTCATCGGTAATTAAGTATTAAATATGTAATTTTGCAATTTTCGTCCATTATAGCAAAGCTCAAGTTAACTGGTCGATTTGAAGTGAAACAATTGACGACACCACAGACATATATCTAGATAGACGCCGGGAGTACAGCAATTTGTATGAAAACCAAGCGTGCCACATTTTTTGTACCCACTTTGACGACATAAGAACTATTTAGTGATGGAAACCTCCTTCCTCTCGTTCTAAATCGATTGATTGAACGGAATACGCGTAAACACGCGCATTCCATTCAATTAATCGATTCTAAATATACTACCTTTATGCAAGTATTTGTTATACAAGTAGTCGTAATAATAATATACTCGTAGTAGGAAAATACTAGAAGAAGATAGTTAAGTCCTTTATTTTACTTGTTTTTAAAAAATGTTGTTTACTTAAAAAAAATTAAGACTTTATTTTTTAATCAACTTCAAATATTGAAATTATGGTCCTTCCAATAAAATGAGCTTATTATATAACATCTTTTTGTAATAGAAGATCTTATCAATTAACTTAAATAATGAATATGCACATCAATGTATAAACTTGCGACTGCCTTAATTAATTTTACTAGATGGTTTTCTGTTGGTAATTGATCAAATTGGTGAATGGGAAGAAAAATGAAAATGTTACTCCTGACAAAATATGGTAAAATCTTATTAATCAGAAGAGTTTTACTTAATGACGGCCTCGTGTGAAATTTTTGTGATTTGTGTATTATTTCTCGGATTTCTAACTCTACTACTCAGCATATTTCGATAGCATCTTAGTTGGGATAAACTAGAC